TACAGTAGAGTAGAGTAGAGTAGAGTAGAGTAGAGTGGTAGAGCCTCGGGGGTTTATACAGTAGAATAGAGAGTAGAGTAGAGTAGAGTAGAGCCTCTGGGGTTTATACAGTAGAGTAGAGTAGAGTAGAGTAGAGTGGTAGAGCCCCAGGGGTTTATACAGTAGAGTAGAGAGTAGAGTAGAGTAGAGTAGAGTAGAGTGGTAGAGCCCCAGGGGTTTATACAGTAGAGTAGAGAGTAGAGTAGAGTAGAGTAGAGTAGAGTAGAGTGGTGGAGCCTCAGGGGTTTATACAAGTAGAGTAGAGTAGAGTAGAGTGGTAGAGCCTCTGGGGTTTATACAGTAGAGTAGAGTAGAGTGGTGGAGCCTCAGGGGTTTATACAGTAGAGTAGAGAGTAGAGTAGAGTAGAGTAGAGTAGAGTAGAGTAGAGTGGTAGAGCCTCGGGGGTTTATACAGTAGAGTAGAGTAGAGTGGTGGAGGCCCAGGGGTCAGAGGCGAAAGGCTTCCCAGCATCCTCGCTGATTGGCGAAGAGATGACGGCCATCTTGGATTGTAGCGGGGAAGAAAGATTGATGCGGTAAGCTCCTTCTTTTATTCGTATAATTTATTTTCTCAGCAAAGGCGCACCAAACCCCCATTAAATCAAAAACACCGCTCCTGCGGGAGTTATCACGGAATCAGGCCGTGGAGAGAGGTGGAAAACGCGGCTTTAAACCCGGCAGTCCGGTTTAGTTGCTTTTTGTTGTTGTTTTGGGGGAACTAACGGACGGAGACACAGTAGGCCCAAACCTGAACAAAAACACACTTGCCCACTAATGTCTCCTTGAACGGTGGCCTGTTTGCACAACCGTATGTAGACCAACGTTCCCGGTTTACCATAAAGTGGTGTAAGTGTTTACAACTGTGAAGGTACTGGCGTTTATAGCCGAGTAGCTCGCTTAGCCGTTAGCGTTAGCTCCCACGCTAGCGTCCCCATGTATTCCTATAGACTTAGCTGTTAGCTTACATGCACTGCTCGGCTAGCACGTAGCTCCTGACACACTTTACAGCTAACAAGGTAACGCCAGCTAATAGGTGTTATTTATTTGGAAACCACAAACATAACTAACACCAGAATAAGCCGGTCTATGTGTGCAGTGTATAAACTAGCGGCTTGTGTTAATGGTGGAATTAATGTTATTAATACAGACAGCATTAGCTCACACGGCTAACAGTAGCTAGCCTTTTGCAACACTGCTGCGCGTTTAACGTTGCTTTGAAACAAGAACAGTGAAGTTTGCAAACTACTCGGCTAGTAGCACAGGGTTCAGCTTGGTTTCTAACCTGAAACACATAATAACGCACACTTTACTTAATATTATAAGCGTGCAGGAGCTAAAGGAGCCGTTGTTCACTGGGTATCGATGCTACACCGTTGGCTACTGCTAACCTGCTGTAGTAAACAAAAGTAATCCTGAGAGATCAGTGTTAAAACACGGCTGTGGGTCTATGTGCTTACACCACCAGCAGGTAACTAAATCCTTTATATTGTGATCTGAGGTGAGATCCCTCTGCAGGTGTTTATAATGTGCAAATTGACTCAATCTTTCACACATTGCAGGGTGGAAATGAACACTCTTTACCTACAGATCATTTATGAATGACAAAGACTTGAGACGTCCTCATCAGTAACATATTTCCTGTTGGTTATTCATCATTAATTAGTCTGGAAATTACTTTGTCGTTTAGCAGTTTGATCTAAAAATCCCCAGAAAATAGTGAAAGTCGTGTTTCCAGAGCCTAAGTTGAACTTCTTACATTGGATGTTTTATCCAAGTAACAGTCCAACCCCTCTGTGAGGCTTTTAATATGATAGAAGACTAAGAAAGACAGAAAACATGCACATGTAACTAGATAAACTGGGTCAATTTTGGCATCTGCAGGAGGTATGTGGTGCTACTTTCACACAAACGCAGGATGTATCTGCCTCTTTGTTTATTTGCTCTCAAATGTCTCATGTTTCTGGTGAATTTGTTGTCAGTGTTGTTCAAATAGGACCTGAATCTGCAGCTCTAGCTCCACTTGAAACATACAATTATATTCTCTCGTTGTGCAAACATAATTGTAAAGTTTTAGTTCATTGAAAGTGCAAGTGCAAAGGGGTTAGGAGTAACCACTGCTGACACGGGCTCCTGAAAGCCTTGGTGTGCACACTTCCAAAATTAATAACACACTTTCTGCACTGAGAAAAGGTGGATTATCTGAGCAACAAAAGATATCCAACCACATTTGGGACGTGCATCCAACATGAAACTAAAGCGAGAATACATCTACAAAAAAAAAATCCTTGCTTAGCTTGTCTGTGGGACAGCAAAACTTAATTTCTGTGAGACAATCTGAGCATAATATCTGCCCTTTTTTGTAGACTCAGACATGCATGTTTCAGGTTTAAAAAATAAGTACAGCATGTGAAGATGTTAAAAGACTAAAGCATTTATTGGGTGATGTGCATGCAGAGTTCAGCAGTTGCTCCTGATAACAGCGGAAGTTTTATTAACAGCATCTTAAAAGGATTTCATGTCATGAATCTGAGCTTTGGTGACACACTGCAGGTGCGACAGGAAGGAGATGCGTCATATCACTGCAGTCTGTGGTCTGTCAGTCCATCTGACCATTTCCCGTGTCTGGTTTCTCAGGTGACACGAGGTATGTTTGGTGCTAACCGGAAGAAGTTTATGGAGGGAGGGGTAGAGAGCGACTACGCGGATGACTCCAGCCTCTACTACACCCAACAGTCCATGTTCCCTCCACACCGCCCTGACAAAGACGTAAGTTGTCTGTTGAATTCTTCTTCTTCTTCTTCAAAGCTTCTTTAGGACTGCAACTATTCAGTTTTTTAATTTTAGTTTCACACTAAAGTACCAAGATATTTGTGCAGGGGAAAGTTGTTGCAAAGCGAGTCTGCAGACTTTACTCTGTGATGTGATGCACAGCAATAATACAGGTTGAAATATAGGTGTCTGGTTGTTCTGCAGGGAGGGCTTCCTCTGACAGTGATCAGAGCCTTAGAGAGTAAAAAATACTTAATATTAAATCATTGGACCTTGTGTCAACCCTTGAGCAGCCATCTGTCTTTTTTTGTTTTTAATTTCCACTTAGTTTCTATCATATTTCTCTTTATTCTTCCAACTCTTGTCACTTTGAACCCCATTGTTTCAAAGCTCTTTCACTTCTACTTGTTTATAGACACATTTAAGATGTTTGACTTCCTTTATTACATTGATAAAACAGTTTTTATGAAAATAAGAAAATGTATGTTTCTCAAAGTAAGGGAGGGAAATAATGTTTTTCAATGCTCAAGTATTGTATCAACACTAATATTGAATATTTTAAAACCATTTTCACCCCACTGTGCCGCCTCTTTTCATGCCAGCAAGGAACTTCTCCAGACTGTCATACATTCATGTAGATGGTTTATTTATTCTGTTTATAGTTAATAATGAAAATAATAATCAATGATGTTGTCAGGAGAGTTAAAGAATGTGTTTGTGTTTCCTCTCTCTTCAGATGCTGGCGTCTTCCTCTGCTTCCTCAACGGGTCAACTGTCACAGCTAGGAGCCAGTTTATATGGCCCGCAGAGTAAGAAGAACCCTAACACACACACACACACCCCACTTATTTCTTTTCCCATTGATAAGCATTGTAAAGCTCAATTTATAGTTGTGAGGTTTTAAATCGAGCAAGAGTTCTCTGCCCAAGCAGCACTCAAACATCACTCCAAGTTAGTCTGCACTGAGTTCGACAGAAAGACTAAATGAGTGAGATATGTAGACAAAAAGAAGTGACCACTAACATTTTCACTGGCGTCCATGTTGCTTTCTCGTGACTACTGACCTGTTTTCTGGCCCGTCCATGACGTTGCATGTAATGTGCTGGAAAAAAAACAGAAAGGCATACTTGCTGTGTGTATATAGTTCGGGTCACTGACAATGGGAAAGCAATCTATAGCCTATTTATAGTGTGTTTGCTCGTGTTTAAAAAAAAAAACGGTGTACACATTTTGGTGGTAAAAAGGGTTATTATTTACTTTGTGATTCAGAGCAATAGTGCAAAGTGTATTTCATTAATTCTTTCACTGCGATAGAAAGTTGGTGTGTGCAGAAAGTTTGCAGCTGAGATTTCTTTGCTAGATGTGTATTTTTGACACGTGGTAGTTAACTGAGTCCTTCAACTTGCTTCTTGTTGTCTTTACTCTCAGCAGTCACAGTTCTTTTTGTCTCCATGGGATGAGAGATATAGATATCGTCGGGGTGTAATGGTACACAGTGGTCTCATTTCAGTTGACACAGTTAGGAGTCATGCTTCAAGAAAAAAGCAAGAAAAAATAACTGCGTGATGATACGTTTTGTTTCCATTTATTTTGAACAGACAGTGGTGTAAGTGTCAAAGACAGACAGAATCAGAAAGTTTCTTATGAATAAACATGTTTTCTCTCTGGTTGCAGGTGCTTTGGGGTTTCCCATGCGTGGTATGAACAGCAGCGCAGCGCCTCAGTTAAGTCGAAGTGGGTTGAACCAGTCTGCCAGCCAGCTCCCCAGTCATGCCAGTACACCAAACACTGGCACAATGCACACGCCACCCTCGCCGAGCAGGTACAACACACACACGAGTACACTCACTGGCTGAAAGTGAATCCTGGTTTGTGTCTGTGGCTGTGTAAAACATAATGACTTGTTTATTTTAGACGTCTGAATTGATTTAATCCAAAAGCTGTAAAATGTGCGGACATTTTAGACAGAAGAAAACATCACAGTCTGATCTGCGTCTCGTCATCTTTAAGGTGTGGACACACCAAACCGACATCAAAGAACTAGCGGTAACGAAAGCCTGTTGCATCGTCTACGTCACCTCACGTCGCCCTGTGTCAGTTGCATTTGAACACACTACACGGACTACATCCGACGGCCAAGTAGCACATACGTTCTGCGCCTGCGTGAGAGAGAGCGGCGTGAGAGAGTGGTACATCCTGTCAGCCGAGGGGTTTCCTATCTGTGCAGCCGAGCACCGCAGCACCTCCACGGACTATTACATCCAGACGGTCCCGGTGTTTCCTCCGCAGGCTCCACTTCACTCAGCTGCCCGATAAACCCGCTGCTTCTTCCCACTTTAACCTGAATAACAAACCAGGGCTCGGTGCTCCGGTTGGATCCAAACGGAGAGCCGGGGCTAGCTCAGAGACTAGCGGAGGCTAACTGGCTGTGCTTCCCTCCGGTCATGCTGCGGCTAACGCTCCGCTAGCCGCTCCCAGCTAGCTCCGGTTTGTTATTCAGGTTAAAGTGGGAAGAAGCAGCGGGTCTGTGGGGCAGCTGAGTGAAGCGGAGCCTGAGGAGGAAGCACCGGTTAGCCCCGGTTTCACTACAGGCAGATTCACTCACTACAGGGGCGAGGAAATAAAACCTGAGCAGTCAATCGGAGACGATGTGGGACACACCGCAAAAACTAGGGCAACAGACGCTCACCGACAGCCCGACTTCGGTCGCCGGCTGACCGTTGGCTTGGTGTGTCAGGGCCTTTACCTCTCTGACTGATTCTGAGAGTTCACATGTGAAGACACAAATTTAACTGAAACTAATTCACAGGTTATTTACAGTCTAAACAAAGTTTGATGTTAGGAAATAAACAATAAATGTCTTGACCTGATCTGTACTTTACACATCATGTGTCAAAGATTATTAATCATACCTAAACGGGTAAACTTAAAACTCAAATTTTTAGCCTCCATTTTTCCTAATATCTGTTATTACTTTATCGATTATGTTTACTGCTGGTCAATCTTAGAGGATGACAGTTATTGAGATGAAGGTGAAAGCAGTTATGATAATGTCTTTTGTTGCTGCTCCTCTTTTTAAATGTATTTTAATATTTTATCAGTTGTTTATATTGTCTGCTTATTTCTTTTCGAATTGGTAAAGCACTTTGAGCTGCATTTTGTGTATGAAAAGTGTTATGTTAAGATTGTGTATCATTATTATTTTTATTATTTAAAGTTTATATAAATTTGACACTTCTGTGTCCACCATAATCTTTTGTATCCGAATGTTTTAGCTCTTCACTACATTAATTCTCACAGACTTCCATTAGAAGCTCATTTCATCTTTTTCCATAATCCCTGTGTTACTGGGAAATTACTTTGTAAGGAGAACAGTGTATTTTTATAGTTCATATGATGATCAGCAGGACAGAGGATAAAGTGAATGTCACTATGAAAACTTTCCGGACTTATTTATGATAGCCATTGGCCCTGGTTATTAACTGGTTTAACAACAGAGTCGAACCGTGTCAGTGTGGGTTTGCTGGGAGCATTTAACGGCTGGGTGTTGGATATCAGCCACTGGTGCTGTGTTAGCTCAAGCTAACGAGGCAGAGGGTTAACTGACCGTTGTTATGAGGAGAGCGGCACTGCATCCAACCTCCATTAACAGAAACACTGAATCTTATAACTATAAATCTCAAATCCTTAATTTGTTGGAGCTAGCATGCTGTTTTTGCACTTCTGTTTCACAGCTTTGTCAGGTGTTGTCTCGAATTCAGAGCCTGTTATTATTTATGTCCTGTGTTCTGCAGTGAATAACCGGCACCAACTGGAATGGAGTGAGGAACAGGAAATATGTATGCGTAGAACGCCAGACGAGAACAGACCTTAAACTGTAGTATGAATGGAACAGAGTGCCCGTCCATGAAACCAGATCAAAACTGCAGCTGTCAGTAGATTCAAAACAATATGTCAGAGCCTTTAGTATTTTAAACCTCTGTGTTATAAACTGAGTTTGGGCAGCTGATAAGCTGTCAGACCTATGGTTAAATAACTCAAACTGGACTTCCTGGATCATATTTCATTATCTCACCAGTAAACCCTCTTCTCAGTCCGAACATTCAGTCAGACACGTACCACGTAACCTCCATGGCCCACTTTCAGTTCCAGCTGCTCATGTTCCTCTTTCTCTCTGCAAACTTGGAACCACAAAACCACCACCGCCAACCTTTAACCTTGTGTTGTTTTTCCTGTGTTTGTGTGTCGTTCTCTCTGCAGGGGGATTCTGCCAATGAGCAGCCGGAGCGTGCTGAACCACAGCCAGCAGGTGGGGGGTCCGACGGGGCAGACGGGTGGGATGGGAGGGGTTGCAGTGGAGAGGGGAGGTGGTGGCGGTGTAGGAGGAGGGAGGAGCAGCAGTATGGGGAGTCCCAGCCGGTCGTCACCCAGCATCATCGGCATGCCCAAACAGCAGCAAGCACGGCAGCCTTTCACCATTAACAGGTAACTTTCTGCATGATGCACAGGTTCAGATGTAAATCTGAAAAGTTTTACACCATTCTGTCATTCACCATTTACATTTATATATTTAGTTTTTTGTAAAGGAGCAGAACAAACTCTTACTCCCACTCACTGTAGGGCGGCAGCTAGCATTTATTTGTATTACTGATTAATCTGATGATGTTTTCATTCTTATTTAATTCGTCATTTAATCTACAAAATAGTGAAAAATTTGCATCATAGTTTCTTGTTTGGTCAGACCAGCAGTCCAAAACTTAAAGATATTCAGTTTCTTGACATGGAAGAGTGAAGAGGCCAATGTGTATTCACATTTGAGAAGCTGACGGCACTAAATTTTTGGCACTTCTGCAGACTGTTGGGGGATGAGTTATAGTATACAGACAGGTGACAAATTGAAGGAACAAACAACATAAACTGTCTTAATAAAGTGTTAGGCCACCATGTGCTGCCAGAACAGCTTTGGTGCTCCTTGGCATTAATTCTACAAGTCTGTGGAGCTCTACTGGAGAGTTGAACTTCATTCTTCCAAAAGATATTCCCTCATTTGGTGTTTAGATGATGGTGGTGGAGAGCGCTGTCGTAAGGTGGATTTATACTTGTGCATCAGCTCTATGCAGTGCCTAGGCCGTTATGAGCATACTTGTGCAGTGGTGTGTCTGTGTCACTTTGCAGTTACACCTCCAAAACACTAGACGGCGGTGGAGGACTGTGTTAAGTGCTGTAAAGTTTAGTTGATTCAAAACACACATTAAACACACATCAAACACACAATAAACACACATTAAACACACATTAAACATGGCTTAATAGAGACAGTTTCAAACACAGTCAGCTTCACTATAACTCGCAGCATTCACAGACAAACACTTGTCTTTATCTGGACACATTTTCCCCACAAATACAACATGCTAACGTTATTAGCACAAGCCTATGGCATTTTACATTGTATAAATTAGCCTAGCAGCTAGCAGACTTTTCCTCTACTCATATGAAACCAGGGACAACAGCAACATTTAACAAAGGTAATGTTACAAAATTCAGCTCCATTACAACTCACAAGGTTCACTGACAAAACAACTGTCTTATACTAAAAACGTTTTCCAAACAAATACAACATGCTAACGTTATTAGCACAAGCCTATGGCATTTTACATTGTATAAATTAGCCTAGCAGCTAGCAGAGATTTCCTCTGCTCATATGAAGCCAGGATAAATCACACACAAGACTTAAAATGCTATTTTTGTGGAGGCTTTATTGTCTTCACAATTTATTGTTTCTTATCTGTGAAATTAAAGTAAATAAAAGTTTTGTTTCCACTGAGGGAAATGGTTTCAGCTTACAGAGACAGACAGGAGGTCTGCGTCGCTGTGACATGTAGTTACATTTCTGGGGAGGTGCACGTCAGGCTATGGCGTAGGCTCTACGTTGACGCGGAAGTATAAATCCTGCTTGATACGTTGGTCCAAAATCTCCCATTGTTGTTCAGTTGGGATGAGATCTGGTGCCAAATCATTTTATACATGTCACAGAGCATGAGTGGATGTTAACTGCTTAGTAGTACCATGCAGTGAACCTGTGTGGAAGCATCTGCCTTCATTATGTTTATTATTTTTTTGTGTAAATACACATTAACAAGCATCTTATGGAACATACTGAACTGTAATTACTAAACCACTTCCTGAGAGCATCCTTGCTGGTTAGAGTCAGAATCAGACAAGGGTTTTTTGACAAATAGATTTTCACTTACAAGGACTTAACTTTGGTTTTCGGTGCATACATGAAACATACAATAAACATATTAAGAGGAATGAAAATAACCACTCAAGAACTTAAATATAGAACAAAAATGTACAGTTGAAAATGCAAAGATGCTTTTAAAAAGTACGATAACATATCATGAATAATATAGCTGTTTCAGAATAGGCTGTACAGTTTTGTGCAGGATGTGCAAAGTTCACAGTAACCATAGTTACCTGTGCCACACTTAGCTCTACTGGCATCTGCAAGCATGGTAAACCTCTGGAGATTCTGGTTTTTCATCATGTCTGTGGGAGTAACGTCACTTCAGCTGGAAGCAGATGAAGAAGATAATGTTTAAATTGCTAAATGCTAACATCAGCATGTTAATAAGCAGATGTTTAGCAGATATAATGTTTTCAAGTGTACCCACTTTCACTGCACGCCATCCAAATAGTTTCTGAGATATTTCAGTCTGGATCAAAGTGGTGGATTGACCGGCCGACATCCCTAGAGACATGCAGCTAGCATGGCTAACAAAAAGCCTTGACCATGTTGTACCATAACAAAGCTCAATAATCATGTAATATGACTCAGGCCAATGTGTTTCTCTGTTTGTGTGTCAGTATGTCAGGGTTTGGTGTGAACAGGAATCCAGGCTACAACATGAACAACTCCCTATCCAACAACATATTCAATGGCACAGGTACTTAGTTTCTTTGTGGAGGCTTAAGACTTTTGTAAAAACAGTTGTTGATTTTTTAAACACTGTCACATCTCAAATATATTTGTGAGTTAACTTTTATTTTTCTGTGTTTGTTTTCAGACGGCAGTGAGAATGTGACGGGGTTAGACCTGTCAGACTTCCCAGCGTTAGCAGACAGGAGTCGGAGGGACGGAGGCTCGAATCCAACCCCGCTGCTCAACCCGCTGGCCGGTCGGGCTCCTTACGGTGAGAGACACCTGTGTATGTATGTTTTTATAACATAACATAAAAGACAAGAAATGCTCTGCAATTCATTTACACACAGCGATTCCAGTCAGGTAAATGTTTAATTGTTTTAGTTTATTTACGAAGCCAGTGCTCAGTTTCTAAAACGAGTTTTTGGCTCTACAGTCAGAGTTACACACCAACCAGACTAGTCACAAGATGCGTACATATATTCTTGTTTTCTTATGACCGTACATACGCAGAGTACACAGCCAGAGCTGAGGCAGTTTGTTAATCCATTAGTCGATTAACAGACAATTAGTATGCCACAATGGCTAACTACTCTCCCCTTCATATTTACAGTTGGCATGGTAACAAAGCCGTCCAGTGAGCAGTCGCAGGACTTCTCCATCCATAACGAAGATTTCCCAGCCCTCCCTGGGCCCAACTACCAAACAAAAGACCCCACCAGCACCAACGAAGACAGCAAAACGGTAAGATCCCTGTGTCTTATCGTTAACTTAATCATTCTGTCCATTTCCTTATTTTATCTTTTCTGTTATTGTTCGCTTTTTTCTGTCCTGATTTCTTGTTGTTGTTGTTGATCTCTGCTGTCCAGTGTTCCTGTGTTTTAAATGCCAACTTCCTGTTTTCATCACGGTGTCCTTTCCTTACTTATGCAGTGCTCTCACGTCCTGACTCCTCCCTTTTTTTCGGACTGTTTTTTCCCTCCATTTTTGTCCAATCAGAATCTGAACTCATCAGGAAAGCCCACCTCTAACTCAGATGGTCCAAAGTTCCCCGGCGACAAGAGCTCTGCGCCTAGCAACAACAACCAGCAGAAGAAAGGGATCCAGGTGCTTCCTGACGGTGAGACACACGCAGTAGATCACGATGCATCCGCACAGAAATAATAACTCTGGTGAATATGAAGACCAGTTTCAGTCTAAATCATCCTCATGTGTTGTCTTTGTGTCCCAGGGCGTGTGACCAACATCCCAATCGGCATGGTAACGGACCAGTTTGGGATGATCGGCTTGCTGACGTTCATCCGGGCGGCAGAGACGGACCCCGGCATGGTCCATCTGGCACTGGGCTCTGACCTCACCACGCTCGGCCTCAACCTCAACTCACCTGAGTACGACAAACACATACACACGCACACACATGTACACAGTTTAGAGTCGTGAGGATAACAGGCCAACACAGACCTAGGATCAGCTGACCAACAGCATCTTCGAATTTAATTCAGACCTGTTAATGTTGACCAGAGACCCAAATACTCAAATAGCCTCAGAGCTGGCTGCAAATACTAAGTGGCAGTCCTTGCAGAATTAAAGGAATACTGAGAACTAGTTACCCGTGTGCAGGTGCTTTTTTTATTTTGTTGACGTTTTGGAAAGTTCTCATCCTTCATATAAAGTTGTGCATTTGTAATAAATAGACTTAAACATTCAGAAACCTTAGACTGTGGCCCAGGCTGCAGCATAATTCAGTTTGATCAATATTGTCTCCTCTGGTTTAAACTTTGCTTCTCTGATTGTGTTACTCTTTTCTTCGCGTCTCAGGAATCTCTATCCTAAGTTTGCATCTCCGTGGGCGTCGGCTCCGTGTCGACCGCAGGACATAGGTGAGTTTACGCTCCAGACACCAAATGTTTGATTTACTTTGGGTGTATTCTGAAAATTTATGGAGGGAATATTCAACTTAAATTTATCTGGTGGAAACAAGCACAACTCTAATGAGATGATCATGTTACTCTATATCTGCTGGATGTCAGAGGTTTAGCCAAAAGTGCTCTATAAGGCACTGATATGCAGCTTTATATACGGGCACTCAAAGGATCGTATTGAACTAGTCATTTCCTTGATAAATTGTGGTGTAGAAGAAGAGTATGTTCAGGTTTTAAAGTGCTTTCAGCTCATTTTGCCTCACCTTCCTGCAGACTTCCACGTCCCCTCAGAGTATTTAACCAACATCCACATAAGGGATAAGGTATGAACTTTTGTTTAAGTGATGCTATATTTTAATGTCTGGGCATCTGAGTTAATAAATGTCCTTTATTTCTTCCATTAAGTAGGTCTTAGATGTCTCAATTTAATTAAAATCGTTATAACCTGTTGATCTGTTTCCTTCCTTTCTTTTCATGTCTCCAGTTAGCAGCTATCAAGTTGTCTCGGTATGGTGAAGATCTGCTGTTTTATCTCTACTATATGAATGGAGGAGACTTACTACAACTCCTGGCTGCAGTAGAACTGTAAGAACACACACTCACTCACACATTGTGGCAAACTGCTCAACAAATTAGACTAAATGGGTAAAATTAAAGAGGATTTCTGTTTCTTATAACTTCACTTTGCATCTATTATTTTAGGAACATATTTTCCTTGCATATTAATTAAAAGAAGACATTAAAAGAGGAACTACACTACAGTTTTGTGCACATAATCACAGATTCTTGTTAGTAGGTGATGTTAATGTACAGGTGAATCTTCCCAAGCAAACACATACTGTGTATAAAAACAGCTTTACCTTGTGAAAATTAGTTTGTATGTGTGTGCTTGGATTTAAATGTTTGGCTCAGTCATATTTTCTACCTGTGACAAAGTGGACAAGACTCGGAGCTCTAATACGTATTTTTTAATTGAATTATGGTCAACAGGTCTCTGATTTGCTTTTGGTGGTCATCTCATGACACATTTTGCATTTTAAGATAAGAGTCTTTCCCAAAGCTTGTCCTTTAAATTCTAGTCTGAGTCTCTGGATGTAGACTGTGTGGCTGTAAACCTGTTATTGGCCATGATTTATTATTTTCATTTCCTCTGATGGGCTTAAATTAATTACAGCAGTAGAGCAGTCAGAAGTAAGAGCCAACTGTTATGTAATGTGTGTGTGTGTGTGTGTGTGTGTGTGTGTGTGTGTGTGTGTGTGTGTGTGTCCAGGTTTAACAGGGACTGGAGGTACCATAAAGAGGAGCGAGTTTGGATCACTCGGGCTCCGGGTATGGAGCCCACGCTGAAGACCAACGCCTACGAGAGAGGGACCTACTACTTCTTTGACTGCCTCAACTGGAGAAAAGTGGCCAAGGTAAAAACCTGTTTGACACCTGTCCCTGAAATACAGCTTTACTAACACGATGATACCAAAATTCTTTCATATATAAGTAGAGATGCAGCTAACAAGTATTTTAATAACTGATTAATTTTTTCCATTCTTTAATTTTTTGGCTTGAAAAAAAAAAAAAACTAAAAAGAAAAAATTTCTACCCACAGTCCAAAACTCAAAGATAGTCTGTTTACTTTCATTTTAAGACAATAAAAGCAGCAACTTCTCACATTTCTGAAGCTGGAACTATCAGATGTTTTCCACGTCTGCTTTAAAGAAGTGACGTTAAACAATTAACTGATTATCAAAGCTGACTAATTAAGACTATGGCCAATTTGTGATGCTTTGTATTTATATATAAAGCTGTTTATGATTAAGTTAACTATTTACAGCTCATATGAAGGATTTTTTCTGTCCAGGCTTGAAATATTAACAGAAAAATAAATTAATTTGAACTTTTGATGCAATATAAATCATTCTCATCAAAACAGTTCTGGTTAATTAAACATATATTAAGGACTTTGATTAATCACACTGAATATTGGAGTTAGTGTTACACTCATGTTTGATATTTCATGGTCACAATTATGGTTATTTTCATGTATGTTAATAATCTATCTAAATTTAAATCAAAACAAAAAGATGCCTAAACCTGAACACTTTATTAACAAAATCCCAGACTGTATATTTATCTTTATTTACAGTCTCTTAAAACATTATTCAAATGTCACATTTTGAGTTGATCAAAGAGAGCACAGAAATCAGCGACACAGTGATCATCTATAGACATTTGAATAAGCTATGGTATAAATCTAAAAGTTAAACATTTTAAAAAATATCCTCTTTGTCTTTCATTCTGAAAAAGGTTTTACGTTTCCTTTCACTCAGTGAGACTGAGAACAAAACAAAATCTCGTCTGCTGTTGCGCTGGTAAAAAAAAAAAGAATATTTTTCAACACGGTGCATCCCCTCTGTGGTAACGCACCGTCAGGTCATCGCTGACATGAGTAAATACAGCATCTGCTGTCACAGAAGTGATGTAAGATGACAGAAACATTTGAAATAATATCCTACATATTCGTGAATCGTGTACATTCAATGAACCCAAGAATACAAGGTCATTCTCTGCTGGTGGCTCTTGAAGATCTCTGTGTTGCACCTCAGACACTGTCGCCTCAAAGCACGACCCTTCAGAGAGCTGGGGATCACAGCACGCAGTCTTACCCCCAAATTCCACCAGATGCGAGTGCATTGCATCTGTGCTCCGGAACGGCAGCGGAGCCGATATGTTTCAATTCTAGTCAATGAGTGTGCTTCCACCAGCTGCGGCTGTGCTGCGTTCCAGCTCCGTCACAGCTGCAGATACGCAGGACTTCTAGTTTTTGCCGGACGCCAGAGCACAATGCAGCAATTCAGCATGGAGCAGATCGTGCGGGGCAGGAAGTTGTGCACAGAAACAAAATAAAACATCCGGTTCATTTTCAAACTAAAATACACAGTGTTCACGGCGGATCATATTTCCCTGAACTACACCTTGAGAACGTCATAATGGGCAGAGGCAGGCCTGAAGTCAACAGGTCAGAGGTTTTCAGACGTCATTTCACCCCGTTGACACCATGGATGAGGAGATGTTAATCATGCAGGTGCACCCAGATGTCTTCCTACTACTCCTCTGGTTTTGTGGTTCTGTTTATAGAAACTACATCTTGTTATATCGCGCGATTATGCGTGAATTCGTGAGATCTCGTGGGTCCTCGTGACTCCCGCTGTCCGGCAGAGTTGCACCGCTCCGCACCACAAACACAGCCGGTGGGTGTTGACGGACGGCGGAGCACGCAGCTTCCTCCCACAGTCCAAAGACATGCAGGTTAATTGGTGACTCTAAATTGTCCGTAGGTGTGAATGTGAGTGTGAATGGTTGTCTGTCTCTGTGTGTCAGCCCTGTGATAGTCTGGTGACCTGTCCAGGGTGAACCCTGCCTCTCACCTAATGTCAGCTGGGATAGGCTTCATGACCCTGTTCCAGGATAAGTGGTTACAGAAAATGAATGAATGAAGAAATATTTCCAAAGTAAATAAAGTCACGTGACACCTCTGTTTCTATGATTTCAACAAAGGGAATAAAGTGCGTCCACTGTAGGCACTGATAGTGAGTTTACTGCATCCTCTCTGATTTTAATGTGTCAGGGATGCAGAGGAGATTTAAAAGAGATCACTGACTCGGCCTACCTGATTTCCTCAAACAGATTGTTCCAGAGCCTGACTTTGTGTCTCTGTGTTTTCAGGAGTTTCATCTGGAGTATGACAAACTAGAAGAGCGACCTCACGTTCCCTCCACATTCAACTACAATCCTGCCCAGCAGGCCTTCTGATTGGCTCTACCTCCTCCTGCCTGCCTGCCTGCCATTGGCCCTCCTGGCTCGTCAGTCACCACCCCTCTAGGTTTTTCCACCTCCACACACTCAAAGTGAATCTGGCCAATAAGGACTCGGGACGGGAGAGGACGTACTGTCTCCTGCTGTCCCAAAAATACGTCTCTGAACAGACTTTATCATTTTAACTCTTCTGATTTCTGTTTGTTCTTTACCTCATTTTCTGTTTTTGTTTTTTTTATTTCCCACCCCTCCTCCATGAGTTTGGTTTGGTTGGTCTGTTATGTGGAGCACAGACGTAATGTCAACAGACAGCACAGTTACAACACACACCGACACACGCACTGTAAATAACTGTCCATCTGATCATGTGATCCATGTTTCTATTCAGTCTTAAGAATCGACTATTTTTGTCTAGAGAAGCTTTTAAGAAGAACCAGATTTTAAACACAATCACCCGTCAGGTGGATAATTATTTCACACTGTGTCACACCTCTCTGATCTTTGGCAGGAAAATATTTATCTTTATTTTTACCAGGATTCTCCAGCAGCATTACAAATCAACAACACACACACACAAACACATACACACACACATACATCAGCAGACAGCGGAGAGTCAGGAGAGGAAATGCAATGTACATTGTAGCACTATTTCATAATAAAAGAAGAAAAAATATCTTTTTTGGTTTGTTGATGTTATGTGGTGACACGTCAAGCAGCATACGCTTCCTTTTTTCTGTTTTTAATTTAATGAAGTGAAGTTTAGCAGCCAGAGACACTCTGAAAGTCACTCTGAGTGGGATGTGTTTCAGATTTTATTTATTCACCTCCTAAAAAGAAATCTGACAATATTCTGTATTTCCTCTTAAAGTCAACAAATCCCATGTGCAGATCTGTCATCACTAAATCAACTTGCCACTGTACTTTTTAGCCAACAATTCTCAAAACAGGAGGAAATCGTGCATTTGTTGGGGACTATTTTTAGCGGCGGGTGAATCCACATTTGGTGCTCTCGTGAGTTTTTTCTTCACCAAGTTGCTCCATAAAAAGGAGTCCTGATGAGGTGAAAGTATCCACTAATTACCAAGGAAAAATTTAGAATAAATCCATATTAATTAGGTGTTTTTATCTCACATATTTTTGATCATCACATTTAAAACTCTCCATCTCATCAAGTCATTTATTTCTATGATTAAATCATACACGGCTACACCTTCTGCAGAATTTCCCAATTAATTAATTCATCATTTTGGCTAAAAAAAAATAGAAAATAATTTAGAATTAATTACAGTTTTCCAAAGCCAAAGTTGACAGCATTAATATCTAATTATGTCCAGCAAAACCCAAAGAAATTCACTTTACTGTGATATAAAACAAAGAAAAGAGGCAAATCTTCACATTACAGAAGCATGAAATGAATTGTGGATACTTTTGCGATCAAAAAAAGTTCAAACAAGTCTGAAAGAATTTCTGTGTTTCCAAAAGAAATCTTCCCAGAAAAGATATTTAAAAAAAGAAAATTAGTGTCTGTGTTTTAAGACAAGAAACAATCTGACTGCTTCTCTAGAGTTTGAAACTTGATTTTTGAAAATACTCAAAAAATATGACTGTACATCAGGAGAAGTATTCTCACTGCGCTGGCAGAAGTGAAAATCACCACCAAGTCACGCTGTGATTGGATCACTGAAACCATTTGCTGACATGGTCTGGGTCGCATTTGACCACACGTCTTTTGTAGTGTAGATGCTAGTGCATCCTGACGGCCCCTGAAAAGGACGATGTCATCAATACGAGACGTAGTTGTTTTGATGCAAGTGCGCTAACTCTCTGTAACGTGCCCATTTTAGGACAAGTTGAATTAAGTGGTGGTTGTGCTGCTCCCTTAAAGCAGAAGATTTGAATTATCAGTTGTCGACACCTCAGTCGACTGAGAGTCTTCAAGTAGAGCACGAGGTGTACTTCTGGGAATGTTTTTTGTTCTCAGATTAGCCTGCTGAGTGAGCGCGTCGTGCCTTCACGCTAGAGGAGAGGTTAACGTTCTGCCTTCTGCTAGGAAGTGGTGAATTTGAAGCTCACAGCAACTTCATATGATACAGTCTCTGGCTTTTGTTTCATATCTCGTGTCTGCAAGAAATGTCGTTGCACATTTGCGATCCATCATTAGTGTAGTTAGCGCACATTAGCTCAGAGCGCAAACGTGTCTTGTTTTAACGCCACTGTAATCCCGAACATCTCGCCAAACCCTGTTCAAACTCCAAAACTCGATATGGAAAAGAAGGAACAAATAGTCGAATATTCTTATTGAACGGTCAAATCTGATTCGACTGATTCTGAGTCAGGCACAGCCCTCAGTTAGGTTAGAATTTCTGTCTGGTTCCAGCAAAAATCTTTGTAGAAATTAGTTTAAAAGCAAAATAGAAAAAGTCTGGTTGCTGCTTGAGAAGTAGGAGTGAAACAGTATTTTGAAAATACTTTAAATTAATTCATTAATATCAGAAAGAAGTAGGAATATTCTTAACTGCACCAACACATTTCTTTTACTTGTCTTAAGAGAATACGACTGCATGGACTCAGTATTTATTTTAATGAGTATTTGTCGCAGCAGGACGATATATGTGGGACTGAGTCAATATAAACTACAGTGTGTGTTCATGAAGGAACGTCCCCCAGTGTAACAGTGTGGCTCACTGATGTGTTTTTAATGGCACAGAGGAGGAAGATGAATCAGGCTGTAGATAGACAAAGAAGAATCATAAATCTGACGCTCTGCACATGGGATTAAATGACAAGAAAAACAGAATAACACCAGACTTACTCTTCAAAATTAAACAACACAATGGCCACAAATTATCAGAGTAATAGAAAGAAATGTGGATTATTTTCCTGACATTAGTCCACAGTTTGGTGGATTAAAGTACCAGACTAAAATTAAAAACTTTGGCACATCCCATTCACACTGACGCAGCTCTCCTCCAGTTTTCACCATGTTCTGTTTCATGTTTGTTTTGTTTTTTATCCCGACATTACAGCTCCCTCCCTCTGCCAGTGAAGGACCCTTCTGTTCCTTCACCTTTTAATATTTAAGTTCTACTTTTATTTCACTGCCCACTTTTATTGTTTATTTTCCGCCCGGCAACAGTTCAAACCAATCAGACGGCTGGAGTGACCTCTCTCTGGATCTTTAAGGGAAAAGTTTTGAGAAATGCATTTGTTTGCTTTCTTGTCCGGAGTTAATGTTCAGATTGGCTCAACTCTCATTTCTGTACGTTAAGAATATGAAGCTACAGCCAGGAGACGTTAGCTTAGCTTAGCTTAGCTTAAAGACAAGTCTTCATTTTTACAGTTCAATTTTTATAAAGATTTAACAAATGAGACAGACGGTAACATTCAGCTTTAGAGGTGCTGTTAGGAGGATTTTGTTACCTTTGGACAGTCTTTATGCTAAGCTAACTTAGCCGGCTGCTAACGTCAGCTTCATATTTATTGTACAGAGGAAGTTCAGCGGGCTTCAAAGCCAACTTTCGTAGCGGCCAAACGATGACGCTGCAATTTCCAGGGTCGGTCATGTGATGCCCTGCGGACCAGAAAGGACCATAGAAAGGCACGTCTGTAGATTAGTGGATAATTTTTGAGCATCAGACCCCCATGAAATGATCCGTCTCACTATCAAGATTTGATCCATTTGGTCTGATAAGATTTGGAAAGCCTAGAAGAGCCACAAAACTAAGTCATTGTATCCCCATTCAAGCTAACAGAGCACTAAATCAGAAGTTAGCTGTTTGGCTGCCGGAAGTGAAACTCTTGGACGCTAGTGCGTTTGCTCTGTGGGCGGCACAGTGCAAAAGTAGCACCGTTTGTCCAGGTTATTTATACGCAGTAGCTGAACCATTTTGGCTTCATGTGCCACTGAGGAACTTTCATAGGAATAAACGAGGCCCCGTGTTCGACTCTGTATCCTGGGGTCTCATTTATAAACTCTGCATACTACGCACACCACTTCCCTCGCAAAGGTTTTGATGTATAAAAACAGTATTGATAGGGGAAACTTTGACCCAGGCTTACGAACATTTTGGATACAGGAAATTAGCGATGCATATGGTGAGGTGGAAGCCTGATTGTAGAAACTGTCAAGTATTTTTTGGTGCACGCCATTTTTGGCTTTTTTTTCATACATACATTTTCAGTATGGATCCTACGCACTGTTGTATAAAGGAGACCCCGGGTCTCCTAATACTTCCATGCGTGAGAGTGTTATCAGTCTGAACATCTAATCTTGGCAAGAAAGCAAATGACATTTCCCCAAAAATTTGCACCTTCCCTTTAAGGATCATTGCCACTCCACAAAAACACAATGTCTAGCAAAAAAGTCCCAGTATTTAGGCTAAATATCACAATTTTTTTTCTTTTTATTATTTTTAAAATTCCTCCAGGAGGCACCAATGTACATGTATGTTTGTATATTATATATTGGAATATAAATCTACAAACATACGAGGCAGTATTTTTAAGAAAAAGAGGAAAAACAAAAAATTTGCCTGAAACGAGGAGACCCTCTCTTTGCTGGCCACCAGTTAACGATGCAATACTAGACTTCCCGTTACCACGGAAACCACCATGGAGACGGTTTTACAGGGGACCATGCTCGACAACCACCAACAACCACCTTTTAGCAACAACAACAAGGACGTGACCGTGACTACAGGGCCCAGTTCGTTCACACTGCAGCAGCAAAAAGCCAAGGACACGCCCACAGACCCATGTGACCTGTTTTGAGAAGATTTGATTGGAGGATTGAGGACTGAGGCACTTGGCCAGTTTGGCTGTTTTATTAAATATGGCAGCTAGTGTTTTAATAGGAAAAAGAATAAAATAAATATTCTGGTAATGAAACTGAAGGAGGACTCCGAGGTGTTTTTATTATGTTATTGTGCAAAATGAAAGTTTTGTTTTTCAGGAGTGACGTCACAGAAGATTCCTGTGTTCTTCTTTTCGTCTTCATCGCTTCTCAAGAAGATGATCACCTGGTAACTGCACGACAACACAGGTACAACACACAACATGTTCTCACTGTGACCTCGTCACATGTCCACGTTTGGTCATGGACTTTCCACGTCCACATAAGACATCCAAGGTACCCTGGGTCACTGCAAGTCACTGCCGAACACCAGATTTCGACGACTTCAGAGTGAAACCAGGCGCAGAAAACACACTAAAGTCATTTTCTAATGTCTGTTCTGACCATTTCTAAAATTCATGTGAGGTAACAATAAATATGAATTAAATCTATGATCAATGACCAAAAAATAAGGTATTTTGGTTAAAGAAGCGTGATTTGTGTGTGTCCGTAAGTTTCACGTCCACCCCGTCACGCCATTTTTTTTCTGGACCAAAATACTGTACTGTTCCTTTAAGTGACATCGCGAAGAGAAAATGACATCATTTAAGAATTTGAAGAAGACAAATTCAAGTACTGGTGAGTACCGATTTTCTATGAGATCATTTTTTGGTGTATTTTTCTTTCAAGACCTTTTCTGTCAAGCGTGACACATCCACCCCGTCGCACAATAAAATACATGGAAGACATTTTTTAATGAAATTTTAAAAATGTTTTAGAGTTTTTCATTTGTCTGTCTGGATATAAGGGGTAAAAAAGGTGCCCAAGCTTGCAAAATGTGTTTTATTCCAGGTCTAACATATTCTTCATTCTATAAAATACAAAATTCCACATTTGTTTATGATCAAAAATTCAAAACTCTGATCTTGAGAGTGTCGGTGGAGTGACCCGGCTGTTCAGGAGCTTTGAAGTGAATCAGAGTGCTCCAAGTTGTCGTTGTTTTTTCCTTTTGTTTCAATGCACTCTCAGGTTTCCTCGCTCATGTTGGTGTTTAGGTTCAGACTGAAAGTTAATTCAGGACATTTTGAAAGAGCAGTTGAGAAACTGGTCACATCCTCATCACAACCTCCACCTGAGGGCATGAGCTCTAGAACAGCTGCTGAACGGACCTGGAGGTGAGTTTCATTTGTTCGTTGTGTTTCAGGTGTTTGTCCACATGAGGGCGCCACGTGCCAAATTAACACCGACAGACAGGAAGCGCTACTGGACAGAATAAACTGAGACGTGTTGTCAGTCTTTAGATGAAGTTATTACAGGTGAATTTAACCATCAGTCACGTCATCTATTAGTTATCAATAAGAAATTATCTCAGATTCCCTTTTCTTGCAGCCAAAGCTGTTTAAATAATTCATGTTAATGCAGGACAAAAAAAGAACAAAAGTGTCAATAAATAGATGCATACATAAATACAAGGATACTTAAGTCCATAAATAAATAAATACATGCAGAGGGTAGCACCTCTTACCCCATTCACAAACAGACAGAATTACGAAAATGTTTTTTAAAAAAAGAAATATATTTATGCATTTTTCTATTAATTTCCATATTTATCTCAACATCTGTTCATTTATTCTTTATTTGTTTCTGTATTTCTTTCAGCGTTGTTTATTATTATTTTATTTGTTTATTCCATTAATTTATTTAGTCCTGTATTTTTTTTATTTATTAATGTATTTTCTAGTTTTATGTATTTATTTTGATATTTATTTATTTATGTTGGTATTTATATATGTATACATTTATTTATTTCCTTATTTATATGTTTATTTCTGTTTTTATGTATACATTTATTAATTTATGTATATCTTTATTTTTGTATTTAGACATTTAATTTAATTTATTCCCATATTTATTTATTTAAACATTCATTTATTGATATTTCAGTCATTTTTCATCCTCCATTCATGTTAAATAATAAAAACCAGTCATTTCAGTATTTTTGCAGCAAACATTGCGTACATTTGAAAGTGTACTAAAACTTATTTTATTCTATTATTCTATCAACAAATTAAAGACTTGACTTTTCATCACAGCTACTAAGCGAGTGATGACAAAAGCAGAAATTAAAGAAAGTGAAATTTAACGGAGACAAGGACTGGTTTATAACCTGAAGGTAAACACACACACACACACGCGCACTAACAATATTATAAACACAGTGCACACAGAGAGACAAAAGATGACACACACACAGACACTCAGTGTCTTGATCTGAACGGTGAGAGCAGTAAAGACTTAATGTGGTGATAAAAGCAGCAGCAGAGCAGATTTTATTGCAGCAGTAGAGACACAGTGGAGACTAAAACCGTCTGTTAAATTTAGGAGAGGAAATGACTCGTCTTGATTTTCAATCGTAAACCAACCAAGAGGCTGAAAGGGACGAAAGAAAAGAAGGAAGAGGAGGAGTGTGAGGACAAAAGATACAACATCAAATGTAATCAGACACTTTAATTCATGTCGACGGTCAAACACAGGAAGAGACGAAAAGTGATGATTTGGACACATATATAACAGCATGAAACCAGATAATAGAAGTTGAAAAGATGATAGTATGTTGAGCTGTTGATGGTAATCCATATCTCATTTATCCAGTCGTATGATCAGTACTTCACAAACCATCAATTTCACAAAATCTTGTAGCTTCTAGTCTCAGAGTCTGGCTTTGAAGAGAGCGTGCGTACGGTTCATGCATGTGTTTGTGAAGTACTGATCATAAGACTGGATAAATGAGGCTTTGATTATTCTGTGCGACGTGTGTGAGAGCAGGTAAGCAAGTTTTTATATAGTTTTGCTGTCGTTAAACATGGACCCAGATCAGTCAATACATCAATATGTTCACCGTTTTCAAAGGAGGCATGCACACAAAGTTTTGTTCACAAATTGAAGGAAACATAGTCTGACTGTCATTTTGAAGTATTCCTTTAAGATCCCAACATTGAAAAGTTAATACATTTGACTTTTCAGAAACTAATTTTAGAAGAAATCGGGAGCTTCACCTTCGTCTAGACAACAGGAACTAATCCAGTCTCTTCAGTGCTGGAAGTAGCACTCAGATTCTTTTAACTTCAATCAATCAATCAATTTTATTTATAAAGCCCAATATCACAAATCACAGTTTGCCTCACAGGGCTTTATAGCATACGACATCCCTCTGTCCTTAGGACCCTCTCAGCAGCTAAGGAAAAACTCCCCAAAACAACCCCTTTAACGGGGAAACTTATACCACAAACTTAGAAGCACTAAAAGTAACATTTAAAAATCCTGCTAAAGTAGAAGTGCAGACAACAAAAACAACAATATGACACGAAGTATCAAAGTAAAAGTACTTTAAGCTACTTTTTTGGGTCCCTTTACTTATAGTATACAGCAAATATGTAGTGTAGGATCAGGACTAAAGCTGTAACAATCTGCAACTATTTTTACAAGTGGCAACCTCCAAAAGTGAAGTGCCAAAAACTGCAGTTCCTCTAATGTCCACTAGGGGCTGGCTCTAAGAACGAGTCAATCCCCATAGACCTCCATGTTAAAACTTTACAGCAGAAATAAACATGTTTACACCCTGGTACAGAAAACATTTTTTGGTCTCTATAGCTAATTACATAATTCATGACAACTGTACGGGGCTTAATTTATATTTAGCTCACCTGTTAAAATTTTATTAAAGCTTAAAGTTACGCATAATTAAGGACATGGCTGCTATAAGTGACAGTCTGTCTGCTGATAGTATCCTCAGCTTCTCACTCAGATCCACCCCTCACTGCTCCAAAGCTCCACCCTCTCATCAAAATATGGTCTCTTCAGGCTCCAAAAGAAACAACATGGCGATGGCAGAAATGCTGAACTCGAGGCTTTAAAACAGTAGTCCAGGAAACCAGTGAGTGACGTTACAGAAGCTACGTCAATTTATTTTTGCAGTTTATGCTGTTTTGATCATTGATTAATTGTTTCGCTCATTTTTCAAGCAAAAATTCAAAATCATTTTCAGCTTCCAGCCTCTCATACGAGAAGATTTGCTGATTCTTTTTGTTTTATATGATGGTAAAATGAATATCTTTTGATTTTAGACTGTTGGTTGAACAAAACAAAACACATGACGATATTACCCTGTATTGCAGTAAACCTGGTCCCTTTTTTTTAGCTTCTTTTTGACATGTCATAGTCACCAGAATAGTCACCAGATAATGAAGATAATCAGTAATAATAATTAGTTGCAGCTCTGTTTGGAAAGAAGCACCTGTGCATTAGGCAGGACTTCCTCAGAGGCCGGGGAGGCTTCTGTAGATGTGCTGTAAATTCAAGAGCTGCAGGATTTGATTTAGTTAATATAGTTTCTGTTTTGAATGTTTAAACAGCAGTTATGTAACTGACTGAACTAATCTAACAGAACAAAAGTGGAACAAAGAGTGTGAGAGTGAGTGGGCGAAGGTGTGAAACTAAAATGAAACTTCACTTTATTTGGTAATTAACTCTGTGCTGTTTTACTGAAGCAGAAGAAGAAGGAGAGACACAGAAATCAGACTCTTTGTATTGTCAAATGTACTTTATATTTAAATGCAGTGGAAACATCAACATGTGAAAAGAAGTTTCTGTGATTATTTGGCCTGTAAGTAATAATAACAATGACGTCATCATGAGTGTCCCTATCTAGAGTCAGTGTTTGGTTTGTCCGTTCTGGGCTACTGTAGAAACATATCAGTGCAACATTGCGATATATAATATAATATAATATAAAACATCGGTTGAGTGTCACATATTACATCTCTGGAGCGTGAGCACACTACAAACAACAATAATTAATGCCGTTGGCTTGTTCATGTTGTAATTAAGATTTGGAAATTCACATAAAATGTGTCGGTAATCAAATTAGCCAAAACCAATTAAACAGTGAACCTGAGGTGTTTGAGGATCATAATGAAAATTAAATAGTTCGTTTAACCTTATCGTGTTATCCTCGGTATTTGAGTTTAATATGTATTTGGCGTAATGACCTTTTATATATTT